GCGCCACACTCCCTCACTACAACAACACTGGCGGCGCCACACTCCCACACTACAACAACACTGGCGGCGCCACACTCCCTCACTACAACAACACTGGCGGCGCCACACTCCCTCACTACAACAACACTGGCGGCGCCACACTCCCTCACTACAACAACACTGGCGGCGCCACACTCCCTCACTACAACAACACTGGCGGCGCCACACTCCCTCACTACAGCAACACTGGCGGCGCCACACTCCCTCACTACAACAACACTGGCGGCGCCACACTCCCTCACTACAACAACACTGGCGGCGCCACACTCCCTCACTACAACAACACTGGCGGCGCCACACTCCCTCACTACAACAACACTGGCGGCGCCACACTCCCACACTACAGCAACACTGGCGGCGCCACACTCCCTCACTACAGCAACACTCCCTCACTACAACAACACTGGCGGCGCCACACTCCCTCACTACAACAACACTGGCGGCGCCACACTCCCTCACTACAACAACACTGGCGGCGCCACACTCCCTCACTACAGCAACACTGGCGGCGCCACACTCCCACACTACAGCAACACTGGCGGCGCCACACTCCCACACTACAGCAACACTGGCGGCGCCACACTCCCTCACTACAGCAACACTGGCGGCGCCACACTCCCTCACTACAGCAACACTGGCGGCGCCACACTCCCACACTACAGCAACACTGGCGGCGCCACACTCCCACACTACAGCAACACTGGCGGCGCCACACTCCCTCACTACAACAACACTGGCGGCGCCACACTCCCACACTACAGCAACACTGGCGGCGCCACACTCCCACACTACAGCAACACTGGCGGCGCCACACTCCCACACTACAACAACACTGGCGGCGCCACACTCCCACACTACAGCAACACTGGCGGCGCCACACTCCCACACTACAGCAACACTGGCGGCGCCACACTCCCACACTACAACAACACTGGCGGCGCCACACTCCCACACTACAGCAACACTGGCGGCGCCACACTCCCACACTACAGCAACACTGGCGGCGCCACACTCCCACACTACAACAACACTGGCGGCGCCACACTCCCACACTACAACAACACTGGCGGCGCCACACTCCCACACTACTGGCGGCGCCACACTCCCACACTACAGCAACACTGGCGGCGCCACACTCCCACACTACAGCAACACTGGCGGCGCCACACTCCCACACTACAGCAACACTGGCGGCGCCACACTCCCTCACTACAACAACACTGGCGGCGCCACACTCCCTCACTACAGCAACACTGGCGGCGCCACACTCCCACACTACAGCAACACTGGCGGCGCCACACTCCCACACTACAGCAACACTGGCGGCGCCACACTCCCTCACTACAACAACACTGCAACACTGGCGGCGCCACACTCCCACACTACAGCAACACTGGCGGCGCCACACTCCCACACTACAGCAACACTGGCGGCGCCACACTCCCTCACTACAACAACACTGGCGGCGCCACACTCCCTCACTACAACAACACTGGCGGCGCCACACTCCCACACTACAGCAACACTGGCGGCGCCACACTCCCTCACTACAACAACACTGGCGGCGCCACACTCCCACACTACAGCAACACTGGCGGCGCCACACTCCCACACTACAGCAACACTGGCGGCGCCACACTCCCTCACTACAACAACACTGGCGGCGCCACACTCCCTCACTACAACAACACTGGCGGCGCCACACTCCCACACTACAGCAACACTGGCGGCGCCACACTCCCTCACTACAACAACACTGGCGGCGCCACACTCCCACACTACAGCAACACTGGCGGCGCCACACTCCCACACTACAACAACACTGGCGGCGCCACACTCCCTCACTACAACAACACTGGCGGCGCCACACTCCCGCACTACAACAACACTGGCGACGCCACACTCCCTCACTACAACAACACTGGCGGCGCCACACTCCCTCACTACAACAACACTGGCGGCGCCACACTCCCACACTACAACAACACTGGCGGCGCCACACTCCCTCACTACAGCAACACTGGCGGCGCCACACTCCCTCACTACAACAACACTGGCGGCGCCACACTCCCTCACTACAACAACACTGGCGGCGCCACACTCCCTCACTACAACAACACTGGCGGCGCCACACTCCCTCACTACAACAACACTGGCGGCGCCACACTCCCTCACTACAACAACACTGGCGGCGCCACACTCCCACAGGGGGACCCGGGAGGCCGCCGTGGGAGAGAGGAGACCCGAGAGGACAACCCTGGAAACAAACCGTAACTGTCTATTTTCCGCTTGTTACAACTTGTAATAAAGTTGTTACATCTTGGCTTAACGTGTTTATGACGTATTGAACATTGTTACAACTTGCTATATTGGTTGTTTTAACTGGTTAGGTGTTCAAACTTGTTCGAACGTTGTACCAACGTCGTAGTTTCGGCGTGTGTTTGGCGGGAACACACCCAGGAGAATGTGTCGGCCTTGGTAATGGTGAATGGCGCCGCCCGCTACAGTTTTCACGGTGTTATTGTTGGTACATCCGCACCGCGACCCTTATTTGTCATCACCGCCCCTCCCTTCCTCGCTATCCCACCGTCCCTTCACTCCCACCGTCCCTTCACTCCCACCTCCCTTCCCTCGTCTCCCAGCATCCCCTAAAGGGTGGCAATTTCCTACCCCCCCCCCCCCCCAAGAGAGAGGTAACTAACGTTTTGGTTATATTTTGGTTATAACTGTTATAAGCTAAATACGCAACTTGCCAAATTCTAGTACTTAAATTACTTTATATACAAGCCTGAAAATTTCAGTTAAATCACACATATTTTATGAGTTAAAATATATAAAAAAAATTGTGGTTAGTTTAGTTCATTTATTATGCACCCCATACCCATCTTGTGGGCGGTAGTGGAAAGGGTTACGGAGGCACATAATGGGCTCAGGGACTGAACCCCACAATTCATTTAGCTAAGCAAGTTACAATCTTGATGAGCTAGTTACAAAACTCAGTATAAGTCGTCACATCAACAATGGGTTCAGGATCGACCACAAGTACAGTTTCTAAGTTAAGCAACTGACATATGTGGAGAGCTAGTGTCACAATTGATATGTTTGTCCTGCACCCCCCCCCCCCCAATCCAGTGGGCAGCGGTGGATAGGTTACAATCACTTAGTTACTACCTACAGTTAGCAAACTGGGGATATTTGGCTAAAATTTTTGGTAGCAGATCATTTTGAGTGAAGTATTTACACATCTCTGGAACATTTGTTATAGAATTGTCTCCGATTTCACGTATCTTTTCGCACTCCATCACATAGTGACGGAGGGTGTGCGAATAATTTTGTTGACACAGTTTACATTTGGTCAGGTCTACATCAGCAGATAATGAGAATTCCCAGAGATACTTGTAACCGAGTCTAAGCCGAGCAGTAGTAACATCTAGAAGTCTGCTGATTTTATTGGATGATCCATAGATGTGTGGCTCCCACTTAGAATTGTTAGTTAAATATCCATATAATGTGATGAATGCTATTTTGTAGTATTTTTTCGAAGCTGATTTTTAATACTATATATTACAACCGTAAACTCTAATATAATAAATGTATAATAAAAATATATTACATACATTCATGCAGTAAAAATATAAAATTAGTGAATTTCAATATTCATTTTCTCTTTTGCTGGAACAGAATGTTAACCGAATTAACTTACTTCAAACTTTTGTAGCCTATTTACCACTTACAACTTTTTATAGGAAGGGCGCAAAAAGGACAAATTAACGTCCTGCTTGAGGTGACGGAGGCCGCAAGACACAGGATGCTCAACAGCAGGTCATCTGGCCAGCCTACCTCCTCCAGTCACCCAGATAAGAAAACCTAAACAAAAATATAAGTCGCTCGAATCGTGAATAAAAAAGAAAGTCCAGACCAAACCACTGTCGGCTGGCTCAGGAAGTCAACTGACTGGGACGGCTTCCGGAGTGTCGGGCGGGACTCCTCGCGCTCCACTACATTACCTGGCAAATGGTGCAGCCTGGACCCCCGCCCCTCACATAGCCCAGCCTGTGTCTACTCCTTGACTTCCAACATTATTAACACAGAGGTGGCAGCACTGACCAGCCAACCAGGTTGAACTATTAGCCCCAGTGCACACTTTTTAGCCTATTGTGTTTTAATACTTGCGGCTTATAATAATTATGACAAGTATGCCTCCGCGCGGGCAAGTTATACACACAGACCACCTACTGGTACCAGGACCCCCCAGTGCGGGCAAGTTGTACACACAGACCACCTACTGGTACCAGGACCCCCCAGCGTGGGCAAGTTGTACACACAGACCACCTACTGGTACCAGGACCCCCCGGCGTGGGCAAGTTGTACACACAGACCACCTACTGGTACCAGGACCCCCCAGCGTGGGCAAGTTGTACACACAGACCACCTACTGGTACCAGGACCCCCCGGCGTGGGCAAGTTGTACACACAGACCACCTACTGGTACCAGGACCCCCCGGCGTGGGCAAGTTGTACATGGACCCATGTGAGCGGATGCACTTCCCTTGCTTACCGTCTATCAAACTTAAATGTAGCGTGTTGGCCCTCGAGCCTGTCCTTGGTATTGTCCTTGGCGTGACTGTACTATTGTATATGGCGCAGGTTTACGCATTCAAGGGTGAATTTGTCTTGCTAAGCTGACTATCCTTGTCTATTTTTTACCAACTAATCTTTATCTATAGGTTTGACTCATTATCAAGAGCTTTAATAATCACATTATCAAGACTGTGAACTTGCTGCTCACCACTTACTGCTGCAAACAGTCTCTCAATCCCTTAAATAATTGATAGAATTATTAAATAATAAATAGGCATGGGATTGGAATGGAACTCCAACAGTACATAATCTCCCTACAAAACCCTACGAACCTCATCCTGTGAAACTAGACAATGATGTAATTTCCTACGGGTCATGTACACAGGATCACACTTACCTCGATATAGACACGAGCATTAGTCTTCAATTACAATTAATTTTCGATGAATCAAATCATGGTTAGAAAACACTGTGTATAATTTGCGTAGTTATATATATGACGCCATAACACTGAAGCGAGGCTCCCGAACTTGCACTCCACCACAGTGGCGTGTTCTACTTAAATATTAACCATACCACACACTCAGACTCATTGATCACGCAAGTCTAACAACTGGCAGGTCTACCCGTGTCTCGCCCTATCGTTCACACGCGAAATTGATTCAAATTTACACTCACGAGCATGATAAAAGTCTTATTGTGTGTGTATTGCTGTAGAAGGTGGTGGGTAGAGGGGGTGGACAGAGGCAGAGCGCGTGAACTGCAGCGTGGTTGTGCACGGTCACAGGTGAGCGAGCACCTTGTCATATGAATGGATCACTAGACAGGCGACGACGGGGAGTGCGAGGACAGTAGCGCCGCGGACCTCAGCCCGGGACAGTCATGGTAATTCCGGTGCTAGTGTGAACACTCCGCCACCACTCACTACCTGGCCAGCGGTGTAACAACTCTCAACCACAAGATCCCGCACTCTACACCAACTGGAACACTATAGTGGCTTTCACTACTTGCAATAATTATTCAAACTGCTCGTTTTGGTGTTGTATTTAATCTGGTGATTTTTAGAAAGAAAAACAAATCAAAGAAAGGCGTCTTCTGTGAATGTGTGACGCTGCCGCCTGTCAACATTGCTAATAATTAATTTGGCCGGGACAATGATTTAGTGCCTCAAGAAAAAAAATATTCAGTTAACTCGTATTTTATCGTTTATTAACAATGACAAAATACTAAGGATATGGGCGAGTCAATCTCTCCCCTACGTGAACACTGTCAATATATTTCATTGAGCGCATTATGGACACTCATGGTGCAATTAGCAGCTGCTATCTCAAAGTATCCCCAAACATCACTGATTTTCGTTTTCTGTGAATGTTGGCTTTTAGCGGTTTTCTGTGAGGGTCAGGGGAGACTCGTGGACCCACCTTCAAGAGCGTCTATGTGGAGGTTTGGTTTTAAAAACCCAGTACAATTCGGGTGAGTTTCAGAGAACAACAATTCTTACTGTATCTCATTAAATTAGGTATGTCTTTGATTTTGCCACTAAAAAATATTCATTTCAGCACAACATTATGTTAATTTTAAGATTCACCGAAATGGTGTGGTCAATTATTTGTCTCAAAAATATATACACATACAAATTGTACATTGCCAATGAATATTCCTAATAAATTAATAACTTTTAAAACACTTTATGCGTGCTAAAGTACAAATTTAACAGCATTTAAATCTGCAAACTAATTTTGAAATTTTTTACTTAGAGATAGGCATTTCATTTTCAGCTTCAAATTTGTTTATATAAATTTCCTCTTAAGATTGAAATCAGTACTGGTCCATAAAATAACATTTACACATCTGTATTTTTTCACTGGCAGGCCAATATTATATTTCATATATCATACAGTTGGGTTCGTTATCAATTCACAATCGGTAATCCCGGGGGAGACAAATGATTGGGCAGGTTTCCTATCACCTAATGCTACTGTTCACCACATAGGTATGCATGAGTTAGTCAGCTTCTTGTAGGGTTACATCCTGGGGAGGGTCAGTGGTTCCACTATGATATAAGCCTAACGTATGTATATACACAGCCTGCCTGTCCCCGACAGAATGATTATAATTATTTAATCTTTATTTTTAATTACATAGGGAAGAATTTCATTTTTATTTGTCTAGCAATTAATATTTTTGCTACAGAAAATGTTGCAATAGAATTGAAAATTAAATCGAGCAATGTTTGCATCAGGTTTATGACCTATAAAAGCCAATAAATGCATCACGGATTTTACGAGTGTATTAAATAGTGCGTGTATCCAGATTTGTTAAGCCTACAGAGAGATTAGTGTTAAAAAAAATATTGGCGTGTACATAAAATATGACAATACATTAGATAGTTAAAAATAAATTTATGACAACAATTTTTAGGTACAACTTTACAAATGCACAATACGCACAGCTGAAGGTGTGAAACGATATACTCAAGTACATGTGCACCAGCAACACACTTAACACGTTTATAACCATGTATACTGGAATTCTTATACACCTAAGTACAAGTAATACGTATAAACAACGAGTAGAAGTAGGCTATCAGAGGAGACAGACGCCTCTTCTGTGTGATGCTTAGTAAGACTAACATTATGACCCTTGTATCTGTTGGAGATTAGATACCCGGAGGTCGCGGGTGAGTAACAGGGAGTTCTAGCTTGGTCTGCATTTTACGTTTCCGCATGACATCGACTATCGTGTCTTTAGAGTTGTAAACGTGTGTCTATCCAGTACCCAAAATGACTTCCGGTATAAGATGAACCTTTATTCCTGTTTGTGTATAAATAAAAGTACACAGGTCCCACCGAGACTCGAACTCGGATTGTTGGATTCAGAGTCCAAAGTGCTAACCATTACACCATGGGACCAACTGGCTGAGACTAAAATACAAAATATAGAAATAATCAGGTTAAATATACGTATTGAGAACTTATCTAAAATGTTAAGGTACTCGCCTAATTGGGCTTATTGTGGTTGAACTTCAGCTCTTTGCACCTGCCTCTCAACATTCAATCTACTGGTGCATACGTTCCCCTAGCCTATTAGGCTCCGCAATACTATTATTATTATTATTATTATTATTATTATTATTATTATTATTATTTGAAGCTGAGTATGGAATCTATGTCGACCGCTTCACTGCTTTGAGCATTCCATTTCTTTACCATTCTGACGCCAATCATTATTTTCAGTGTCTTATTTGGCTACTAAGTTCCATCGTCCTCAATCTCTGTTCTTGTACCACTCATTACAAGTTGTTTGCTCCATTTATTTGCCTATAGGAATTTTGTATGCAGTAATCACGTCTTTTCCATGACTCGTATCTTCGTGAGTCAGATTCACGTCATAGTGAGGTTAAATTACTTACATCTTACATCATAACAAATCCCTCTGCTCTGGCAAAAAGTCTGGGGAAATGTCTCTGGCCTTCTTCCAGTTTCCTTATACATTTCAAGAGACGCCACGCTGGAACCGCATATTCCAGTTTTGGGGTTTGACATACTTGGCTATACAAGGTCTTGAATGATTCCTTATTCAGATTTCTAAAGGCATATATTTTGCTGTCTAACGATATTCTTTTAACGTAAGCTTCATGAGACTAGTTTGCTATGATATCGATCACCAGGTCTTTTTCTGTGATTATTGGAGGGTTTCCTCTTATTTATTACCGGCACCCAGCACCATTATTTTGCACTTACTCGAATTAAACTCTAGTAGCCACTTGTTGGTCCACTACGCCAGTTTATCCTGTAGTTTTTAGAAGTCTTTCGCCATATTTCCTGGGTTCGATCCCAGGCGCCGGCGAGAAACATTGGGCAGAGTTTCTTTCACCCTATGCCCCTGTTACCTAGCAGTAAAATAGGTACCTGGGGTGTTAATCAGCTGTCACAGGCTGCTTCCTGGGGGTGGAGGCCTGGTCGAGGGCCGGGCCGCGGGGACAGTAAAAAGCCCCGAAATCATCTCAAGATAACCCCAAGAAGATATTAATTCTCCTTATATTTTGGCATCCGTAAACATTGAAGGGAAAGTGTCTTTCTTCTGATAAATTATGTATACATTCACTACAAGCAAAATAGGTTTAATAACTGACCACTGTGGGTCGCCACTGGCAACAAGTCAGAAATCTCTTCGTGCACCGTGTGGTTTCCTCTCTGTTCCATATCCTCGTCCCTTCTTAATGTTTTATAGTCGTAACAGCCTAAATCTTTCTCCAGATAATTACCTTAATATCTGTCTTCTGTTACTTAAATACTCCATTAATTATTCACAGGAGCACATTCTCTGTCTCATGTCTGTTTCTCTAACTTATACATGTCATGTAGGATGTTGTGACTAAGGATCTCTCTCTTCAAATTGTCAGGTTTGTGAGGAAAGATTTACCATTACAAAATCATTTTCGTGAGACGTAATGAAGCCTCTTCTGTCTAGATGTCCAACTATTCTCTATCCTCTTATGGTCTTCTCCGTCACCTTTCATGATATAGGCCACTGATTTGATGTCTAGTAGCTCATGCCAGTCTTCCAAGGTTCTGATAGTTCTTTTCCAGTGAGATGTTAAATATTAGAACTTATCTTTAATACCTAAATATCTTTGGCGAAATTCGGTGTAGTCCCACGCCTCAGCCATGTCCAGATAACATTTGGAAATTTGCCGATACTAAAATAGTACAGGGATTAAATTAAGAACATCCACAATCATTACACGATGACAATTAGAAAAGCTTTAAAAATGGACAAAAGACTGGCAGGTGCAGCTTGATGACAAATGTCGGGTTCTTATCCATTAATGGCACTACAAGCTGGCTGGACCACTAGGGGAAAATGTAGGCGGTTGTTCCTTACTCTTCAACAATATGTAATATTAATAAGAGACAATCAATTCTGTTAGGAAAAGAAATATAAAGAAGCAGAAGTAATCGCTAAATCTGCACGTTGGACTCGCATACTAAACTGATCAAACTCCTCAACGACAGTAATATCAGTTGGTGGAACTTAAAATAGTAAGTGGAACTCAGAAGGTTCTTCACCAGCGGGTGCTAACACTGCAGGCATCCCTCAGATACTCACTACTGTTGTTACACCTCACCACCACCTGCTTCCTCCGCCCCTCCCCCACCCTTCCCCTCACTATATTATTAGCAATCAAAGCGCTAAATATTACCTACACAATGCGCTCACTACAAATCAAACTTACCAGAAATAGTGTATGTACTCACCTAGTTGTGTTTGCGGGGGTTGAGCTCTGGCTCTTTGGTCCCGTCAATCAACAGTTGTACAGATTCCTGAGCCTATTGGGCTCTATCATATCTACACTTGAAACTGTGTATGGAGTCAGCCTCCACCACATCGCTTCCTAATGCATTCCACCATTTGTCAACCACTCTGACTCTAAAAAAGTTCTTTCTAATATCTCTGTGGCTCATTTGGGCATTCAGTTTCCACCTGTGTCCCCTTGTGCTTGTGCCCCTTGTGTTAAATAGCCTGTATTTATCTACCCTATCAATTCCCTTCAGAATCTTGAATGTGGTGATCATGTCCCCCCTAACTCTTGTGTCTTCCAGCGAAGTGAGGTTTAATTCCCGTAGTCTCTCCTCGTAGCTCATACCTCTCAGCTCGGGTACTACTCTAGAGGCAAACCTTTGAACCTTTTCCAGTTTAGTTCTACTGGAAAAGGTTACTA